TCTAGGTGTCAGTGTTTACTAAGGCAATGCTCTCTGCCCAAGAAATAACACTGCGTTCTTTTTTTTTTTAAACAATATGGTTCTGCCCTGCAGGATCCTCCAATGGATCTGGGAAATAAACCCGATGCCAAGAGGCTCTTGTGGAGCTGAAGCTCAGGCCCTTGATTTGGATAAGACCGAACAGTCCTGCCAAAAGGAGAACAGGCAGCGTTTGGCAGGGCAGTCAGCTGATCTCAAGTCCCCAAAGTGTCCTTCGGCAACCCGGCTTAGTTGTGGCACCTGGGCTGACAGGCGGAGGACAGCCGGTGGAAAATTCCCAGGTCTGGTCACCTTCGTGAGAGTAGCAATCTTGCCCATGTGCCTCAGAGGTTTCCAGGGAGAAGGGAGAAAAGAAAGAAAGGCCTTCTATCCCTTCCTTTAGCTTGGGTGGCAGGGTTGTGGCAGTCACTGGGTAGAGAAAAGTGCCCCAGACAACCCTGGTCTGGATGCGTCAGCATCAAACTGTCCGGGAACAGCTTCCGCCACCAGCGTTCAGCTCTGTGCATGGAAAGTGTGTTGCTATCCGAGATGCTGACAGAGTCGACTTACAAGGACTGACTAGAAGAAACAGTCCACAAGGCAGGAAGCCTGGGGTAGAATAAGGCAGAAAAAAACAAAAGAAACTCTGATTCCCAGCTGCTAGCTTAATGGCAACAAATTCATTTTCTGATAGGATGTGCACTGAAATTGTTACTGGTGGAGGAAGAACAAAGCCCTGGCCTTCGTTCATTCAGTCATTCAACAATTGTCGAGTGAGCACCTGCTCAGCGCTGGTGCTGTAGCAGGTGCTGAGGTACAAGAATAAAGAAGATATAGCTAGGTGTGGTGGTGCATACCTGTAGTCCCAGCACTTGGGAGGCTGAGGCAGGAGGATCCCAATGAGTCTGAGGCCACACTGGTCTATACAGCGAGTTCCAGGTTGGCCTGAACTGTATAGTGAAATCCTGTCTGAACCCCCCCGCCCCAAAAAAACATACCCCCCCCAAAAAAAGAAGAAAGAAGATGCAGCTCTGATCTTCATGGAGCTCATGCTATGATCAGGAGTTACCACAAGCTAGTGTGATCTTACACGACTTAGAAAACACAGACCAAAGTGGCCTGGGGGAGCAATGAGCTCAGGAAAGCGCAGGAAGGGGAAGTCAGTTTGAGCTGAAGGCTACAGAAGGCCTAGTGAGGGATTTTAAGCAGAGTGACAAGGTCAGATTTCGTGTTAGAAGGAAACCCTTGGAGAGGAGAGCGTTAATTATTTACAGTGTGCCAAGCAGAAATGTCCTTGGAAAGGTCTGACACCTGAACTGGTTTCTTCTCTAATACTCGGACCCTGGAACGTCTGCAACAGACACAACAACCAAATCAGACAAGAAAACAGGCCCCTTTCCTTTCCGGTGAGTTCGGTCTGCAGTCTGGGATTCTGGGAGTGAAATGATGGCGAAGTCGAGGCCACAAGGGAATCCTCTCAGCATTCTTTTCCTTCGGTTTTATCGCAGGCTCCCGATTATGGCTGTTGCTCTTTGTGGTGTAACTGGCAGATCTCTGGAGGAAGAATTCTCTGACACTGGCCCACGGATCCTCCAGAAGCAGCACTGGACACAGCGTGCGCACTGAGCCCAAGGCGGGCCTTTTCTTTCACATCTCTGAAATTACCCTAAGTCGCGGGATGGGCAGGGGTGGCTCTGAGTGTGAGGACTGGATCCCAGGATCCGTTCAAGGGTGACCACCTCTCCCTCTACGGCAAGGTTCCCCGGCCTTGGCGCCAGTCACGGCAGGGGCCAGATAAACACTGTCAAGGGCCGTCCTGTACATTCTTGGGGGCTGAGCAGTGTCCCAGCCTCTACCCAGAAGATGACAGGAACAATCACCCCCCCACCAAATTGTGACAATCGAAAGTCGAATGGAACAATCACCCCCCCACCAAATTGTGACAATCGAAAGTCGAATGGGGAGAACTGTTCTAGAGGACACTTTTCCATTGTGTCTGTTTCCATTCCGCTTCCTTTTATTTCCATCCAGTTTTCCATGCTGTCTTAATGGGTCTCTGGGGATCTTTCAGCCCCGTGGCCAACTCTTCCTCTTGAAGCCTGCATCCCTTGACACACCCTCCTTGTTTTCCTCTGTACTCTCTGGCCAGTTCTTTGTAGGCTCCTGATGCCTCTTCATTCCCTTCCTGGTCTCCCTTAAGGCCTGGCCCCATATACTCTCTGCTTTCTCTCGCTCTTCCATCCCCAGGAAAATATCTTCTACTTGTTAAAGACTCAGATTTGTCTCCATCCCAGACTTCTCATCTAAGCCCCAGACGGATTTCCCTTTGTTCTAGACGTATCATGGGCACACACACACACACACACACACACACACACCAAAAACGACTTACCTTCTTCCAAAATCCACTGCTCTTCTCATTTGCCCATTGCAGTAAATAGCACCCCATTTCATCCTCCTGTTTATCCTGACTCCTATCATCCCCATATCTAGTCCATGACCAATTACCATCAATTATATCTTCAAGAGATATAACTATCTGCTCGACTCTGTGGCTGCTGTTGCCTCGCCAGGTCAAGCCAACATATAATCAAAAGCACAAATTAATTCTAATGATGTTGGTGGCCTCCCAACTTCCCCTCTGCCATGGCAATCTTTTGAAAAGCATAAATCAAACCATATGATGGACCAGCTCCAATTTCCTCAAAGGCATTCTATCGCACTTGAATAAAAGTGTTTTAACACAGCCCCTTCCTCCACCACGCCATCCTTTTGTTTATGCTGCTGTAGTCGTGTTGGCCCTGTTTCCTACACGTCCCCAAGGGCCTCCTGTGCACGCTGCATCCTCTGCCAGGAAGGCCGTCCCCCAGCTTTTCTCATCCACAGCGCTCAGCATCTCCTGCATTTCCCCCGGAACATCTCAGGGACAGTCTCCCCTGCAATGCACTTAAATTCACTTTCCCCTATATCCTTTTACACTTCCGCTTACCCTGGTGACTTCTAACTCCACGTGCACCCATGGGATTATTTCTGTACTGTTTGGCTCCCCTCCTAGCTTGGAAGTGTCTTAAAGGGAGGGAGCCTGACTGTCTCTTCCATTCATTGCTATCTGTCTTAACCTCCTAAGTGACACTTAGTGGGAAATCGAAATATTTATTGGATGACTGACAGTTCACCTCTCCTTTCCTGGGTTCAACTGTATCCAGGAAAGAAGACAAAATGAGAGAGAGAGAGAGAGAGAGAGAGAGAGAGAGAGAGAGTCATGCATGCGTCCATAAGTAACTGTGAGATATGATGAGAGAGCTCTGCAAAGCTCTGGTCTGTTTACATCCAAAGAAGCTTTCTAGTGGTGGTGTTGAGAGCACAAAGCAATGCGGTGCATACCCCTTGACCTATTGATTTCATCGATATTTCTTATTTGGCCCAAGACTTTCCACTGAATCAGGAAGGTGTTCCCTGGGGACCACACCAGAGCAGTCTGGGGAGGAAGAGCTGAAATTAGTTGAGTTTTCCAGCAACACTGCCTTCCTGGAAGGCCGGGAGCAGCCAGGGAGACCAGGGTGCCCTGAAGGTCATCAGCCCCACTGTGCAGAAGCCGCAGAAGCAATGGGCAACTGCTTCACGTGCACATCCTCAAGGGCCCATGAAGTCCTGGTGGCCTCAGTGTGAAAGCATGTAAGTGTCTTCAGAGACAGAGAGAGACAAGGGGAAGGCTGAGGGAGGCTTCTTTGACCCTTCTTGTCAGCAGCCCACAGGAGGAGCGCATTTGACTTTGATTTTCTCAAAACGCATAGGTGTGGTTGGCTGCAGAGTGTCGTGTAAGCTGACGACACCAACACACTCAGCCTGGAGGTCTGTGTGTGGCAGAGATGTACATCGGCCCCTCGCTGGCCCATTAAGGGACAGCTATGCGAGAACCAGAGCCTTCAGTTAAGCAGCTGCACACCTACTCAGACTAGGAAAGACTTTTGTATATCCAAACAGATCGCAAAATGTGGAGGGGAAAAAAAAGCAGAACCTCAGTGGAGCCCAATTTGTGTGTGACCCGGTGGAATTCACTTTAACAGATTTACTTATTACAGCTTCAATCGGCCTTAAAGAATCTGAGAAGACTTCCAAGGTCCATGCGTTACAGCTCAAGGACGAGTGTGGGGTACCTGGTTCCAAGCATATTGTGATTGGCTTCGTGTTGCTAAACAACAAAAATAGCCTGCATCTGTTGTCATTGCAGGGCTGGGACGTTATTTACAAGTGGGTCGCTCAAGTTCCACCAGCAGCCACTAATAAAATACTAATGGGAGAGAGGATGACTTTGCCTTTCCCGTAAAATAAAAAGACAACCAAGGCAAAAGGCAGCTTCTGGTAGGGTGGAAACCAGAGGAAAAGATATCCTTTGAAATACTGTAAATTCTCAGGCAGGAAGCAAAAAGAAGCCCTCATGAAGGTACTTGCTATTTTGGGAAAAGTTCTCAGCCAACATGAGCCATCCAAATTTTGAGGATTCATTTTTTTTTTTTTTGGTAATCCTGGGGGTCAAACCCAGGGCGTTGCACATGCGAGGCAAGTGCTCTGCCACTAAGCAATACCAGCCTCTGAGGGCTTTCTGTATGTCATACCCCAAAGATAAAAATCAAATGTAGCTCCTGCCCTCACAGAACATGGTGCTGGGCAGCCGGGCCGCTGTCTTTCAGAGAAGCCAGGGTGTTGGGTGTCTCAGCTCGGTGGACAGTGACACGGCACAGAACGAAGGCAGAGTGAGGCGGCAGGATGACTAAACGGACAGCAGCTGGCAGGCAGGGCCAGTGATGGGATCCAAGGTCAGGGACTTCGTTCTGAGACCCGTACTGAAGAGACCAGCAAGGTGTGAGACCAAACTCAACGAGCATAACGAGGGACGGATCCCAGCGTAGGAGGCACTTAGTGAGTAACTGTTGGAAGAATGGGCGAGCGACTCTTCCATGGGTCATCCGTCTGCTGCTTACCTCAGATTCCTTGTAGTAGCGTTCTGGAATTTCATCGCAGGCGATGTCAATAAAGCAGACTTCTCTCTCTAAATCTTTGGCTTCGCTGTCAAAAATCTGAAAGGACAGAGCAACATATCAAAGGTTAGCGATGCCCGATGAAATGTCCAAGGTGGCCGGGGGTGGGTACAGCCGTGCCTGAGGCAGAGCCGCCCCCCCACAGCGCTTCTCCACGCATCTCAGGGGCCCCGGCTGGTGCTTTCACCCCCCTCGGGATGTGCAAGGATCGTGAAAGGCTTTTATTCATCTCACAGGCTCCGTCACATCACAAGCAGGTGAAGCATCCATCACGGCTTGGTGAGGGCAGAAAAAGGGGCTGTTTGCAGAAGCTCCCAAGTGAGGACATAAATCTCTTCCAAAAACCTCTTCTAAAACTGAAATCTGCTGATTTTTTGGCAGCTAATCTAAACAGGGGGAGTGAAGAGGGTGGGGAGGGTCTGGTTAGGTTTGAGACAAAAAGCCGTGATATAGCTCAAGATTTAGAGAATAATTGGGCTTATTACAATTTATATGTTAAAATTTTACATATACATAAAGTTTTATGTATATATATCTTTACAAATAATGAGCATACAGTTACTGAAAGAATTATAGATGAGCAAAAAGAGAGCCGGGCATGGTGGTGCACACCTATAATCCTAGCACTCAGGAGGCTGAGGCAGGAGGATCGCTGTGAGTTTGAGACCAGCCTGGGCTACATAGTGAGTTCCAGGTCAGTCTCAACTACATAATGAGATCCTGTCTCAAAAAAACAAAAACAAAACAAAACAAAACAAAAAACCCCCAAACCACAATTCTGGTGCCCAGGAAGAAACGCTTGTATTTTTCTTGATCATTTAAGAGTGTGAATTCCTTGGTACGAGTAGGGGTAACGGGTGTAGCTTGGTAAGACACTGAGATGGTCTCACGCCAGCCTGCTGTAAGTTCTCCTGGATGAGGATGTCTATTGCCACCCCCCCAAAAAAAACAAACAAACCATAAAATTGTCACAAAATACAAATACAAATTTTAGTGGAAAGCTTAAGTCCCCCCTGTTTTTGCCATTGCTATGTTTTGGTCCAAAGGGATGAGCATCCTTCAGAAGGAGTGTAAACAGATTAAGTTTGGAAACCACTGCATCCTTGGAGGACTCTTAGCTGCAAACCTCCCTCCCTGCTGAGTTAGCTCCCTCAGAGAATCCTAAGTTAGCACTAATTACATCCACACGCCTCAGAAGAGAGTGGAATATTTTGGAAGAACAGGATGGTTGATGCCTAAGAACATTGTCTTGACTCAAATTTGGTGCCAATTAATAACACGCTCTTCCACAAGACAGCACCTGAAGGGCTCTTTACCTGCTACACTCCGCTTCTCAGATGAAAAATATGAGTCCTATCCAAATGGTTTCTGAGAGTATTTGTGCGGGTAATTATCCCCCGACTCTGCTGTTTGCCTGATTGCCTGTTTCCTTCTAAAATATTTGGGACCTCCGTGGACCAATCTCTTCAGCGTTCCCCAAAGACACAGACTCCTGTGTGACCCGAGGTGGCCGGTCCATTCCCCTTAAAAGCAGAGAAGGACTGGTTCTTAAATCCGCCTCGAATCTTTCCACTGCTACTTGGAGTCAGGAGTTGGGGCACTCCTAGTGTTTGAGAGGGACAGGTGGATCGCTCGGAAATGAAATCGACAAGTTCAGGAGTTGGGACGCTCAAGCTCAAGTACCAGTGCAGAAATGAGTTGTGAGGTGAAACACCAGGCCTCAGATTGCGTGACTCAGAGTCAGTGTCAGTTTCTCTCTCTCTCCAAGTGTGAGCCTGGAGGAGAAAGGCACCGGCTCATTACGAAGACAAAACAGAACACCTGGAGGGGAATGCCTTCTGGAGAGGAAATTACAGGAGAAGTTAAGGAGGTTTGACATTTATTGGTAAAATCTGTGGGATTCGAAGAAGGGGAAGTAAGCAGATGTTAAGGGAGCCATGGACAGGTCATGTGACTTTGTCTAATTTAATTTGAACCTTGCCCCAGCACTGGGGATTAAACTCAGAGCCGCAAGTCTGCTTAGCAAGCACTCTGCCACGGACCTACACACCCAGCCCTTTTTATTATTTTTAATTTTGAGACAGAGTCTAATTAAATGGCCCAGGCTGGTCTTGAACTCGCGATCTTCCTGCCTCAGCCTCTCAAGTAGCTGGGATTACAGGTCTGTGCCATAAACTGCTTTGATCACCCACTGTACCAGTTCTGCTATTATTGCCTCTCAGCTTTACACCCTCCCTTCAGTCTCTGCCCTATTCGAAGGACTGCAGCGTGTGAGCCTTTCTCCTGGAGAGCTTGCATCACAGTAAGCCTTGTCAGTAGAGGGTGCTGGAGGGACACTGCAGGACGAAGAGGTCACCTCTTCCAGGTTTGGGTCTCGAGGCTATGGAGTCCCTGGGTGGGGATATTCAGTGGAGCTCTGTCCCAGCTGGGAGCCTAGAGGGCAGAGCTGCTCAGGGACCTTGCTGTCCTGGGGTGGGCCTGGGAGCGACTTCCCTGTGGCCCTGACGATGCAGGCATGGGGCACCCCAGGCCTCGGGTGGCAGTGTACCCTGCTCCTCTGCAAGCAGTCCACCAGCTTCACCTGGCCTGTGCCCCAGGAGTCTTTCTGCTGCCTGCTGACTATGTTTGTTTGTTTTTTGTTTTTTTGAGACAGGGTCTCACTATGTAGTTGAGACTGACCTGGAACTCACTATGTAGCCCAGGCTGGTCTCGAACTCACAGCGATCCTCCTGCCTCAGCCTCCAACAGAGAAGATAAATATCTGCCAAAAGTACTTCCTGCTTCTTCCTTCCTTCCTCTCTCCTTTCCTTCCTTCCTTCCTTCCTTCCTTCCTTCCTTCCTTCCTTCCTTCCTTCCTTCCTCTCTCTCTCTCTCTCTGCCTGGGAATGAACTTGGGATCTTGACCTTGTGAGGCAGGAGGAGGGAACACTGAGCTAAATCCCTGGTCCCTTCCTGCTTCTTTCTAGGAAGATGAAATCAAATACGGTTCGCCTCCTTCTTCCTTATAAAATGTAATCTTTGGGCTGGGGATTTAGCTCAGTGGTGCCACGCTTGCCTTGCAAACACAAGGTCCTGAGTTCAATCCCTGGTGCCAGGCAGGGGGAAAATGTATGTTTTTGCCAGCCATCACTGAGAATGACCCTAGGACTTGGGGTTCTTCTGCTCCTTTGTCAGACAGCTAAGGCTGAAGCAGATTCTGCTACCACCTACAGCTTCTGTTTCCTTAGTGAACACAATGCTTAACTTGTGGCAAAGTCTGTGAACTGCCAAACATGGGGAAGTTTGCATTACTTCAATGCAAACATTTCAGGGTAAGATTTCCACCACCTGAACAAAGCCTCAAAAATCTCTTTGAGTGCCGGGCATGGTGGCACAAGCCTGTGATCCCAGCACTTGGGAGGCTGAGGCAGGAGGACTGCCATGAGTTCAAGGCCAGCCTGGACTCCACAGAGAGTTCAAGGCCAGCCTGGACTCCACAGAGAGTTCAAGGCCAGCCTGAACTACATAGTGAGAGCTTGTCTCAAAAACATAAGAAATCACTTTGAGCACCTCAACTGGCTCTTTAGGCATGCGATGACAAGAATCAAAATTCCCAGTAAATAATCTCCCAGTGATACTTGTAAGTGGTCGCTGAATAATGGAAGGCGTGAACTTCAGGTTCCCGTAGAGGAATCTGCAGCAGATATCTTGCTTACTGATTGATCTTTGTTTCCTTTCATAAGTCCGAATTCTATTTGCTTGGTATACGTGCTCTAATTTCCCCTAACTCCTAAAACAGGATTCAACACAGAGTGGAAATCTCTTACTATGGCCTTATGGGGCCTAATGTTGGGAGTCAGGAGAGCTGGGGCTTGAATTTATCTTCTCTGGGTAATCTTGGGCAACTCTCTGCATCATTTTTGCTTCTAAAATAGAACGATAGGGTCCAGGGAACCCGTGAAAGATCCTGGAACGTACAAATTTGGGGAAGTGTGTTTTTCTGGAGAGCAGATCCAGCCACTTTTGTCTGATTACCAGAGATCTCTGGCCCTAAAGCTACGCCACTTCACTGCCTTGTTTTGCTTTGCAGAGAGAATTTGTTTCCTTCTGAGATGGAACTTGGGTCTGGGAGTTCATTGGAGAGCTTTTCCTATATCACCTGTAGTGATGTTCTAGGCTCTGTATATTTGTCATAGGTTTGTTTTAGTGTGGCTTTGTTACTGTAACAAAATACCCAAGGCCTTGACCACAAAGACAAGAGGGATCATTTTGCTTACAGTTCTGGAGATTCAAGGGTATTACATAGGCATCAGCTTGTCTCTGGTGAGGCTCTTGTAACAGAAGACAGGAGCACATGTAAAAGGATCACATGGCCAAGGAGAGAGAGAGAGAGAGAGAGAGGCACTTTGGTCCTACAATCCCCTTGGGGCAAAGCTTCCAACATATGAACTCTTGAGGGACACAATGAATCCATAACTAACCCATGGCAGACGCTCAGGGGAGAATGTGTTTATCCTCTTCCCTTCTGTATCTGCCCACGGATCATCTGCAGTGAATTTTGGTGCCAGTCTGATTCCTCTGACCTCCTCCCCACAATGGGAAATAAACAAGAAGACAAACTCTCTTTAATATGAACTGAACAATGCTAAAATGAGAAGACAAGTCTCTGGAAGAAATATTATCTTATGGATTGCAAAATAAAAATCGAGCAATTTCCCCTTTTTTGTGCAGCATTATGAACAATAAATACCAAGCGTCTCAAAAATCTTCGTATATTTTGACATAGAAAGTTTATGCTTTGAGAGTTTATCTTAAGGGAAGAATCTTAAATAAAGGGAAAGCTTTATGCACAAATATTTTTTTATTGCAACTTTATTGTAATAGCAAGAAAAAATATAGAGGCGAAAATAAAATTTAAATATCTCACCATGGGAAACTGGCCAAAGAAAATCAGTATAAATCCCTTTGATGAACTATGATGTGACATGCAGTCATAATTAGGTGGGGAGAAGTACACTGCTAGACAAGGAATAGAACAGTCTAGATTTCTTCTGGAACAA